GGCATTTTTATAAAGCAAAATGTCATGAGGTTATTCCCCATCAAGCAATCTTGTGGAACACCCCATTCTCGATTGTGAATGTGCAAAGCCATGGAAAATAAAGTATGAGTCAACATGGCTGTACAGTGCAGATTTAGAGTTAAAGAATACCTAGTCAGGCACCACTCATCACAGAGCAGGATCTATGTAATAAATAGAGATAAGGGCCTCTGAATGAAAGAAAGTATGAATAAAACTTATCAGTTATAGTCACACCAATGTCTGGAGAATGGCTACAGGTGGTAGACAAAACAGTAACGAAAAGGAAAGCATGCCATGATGAAGATAGTGGGAGATAAACGTAATGGAGTGGCCCACATGCCAAATTGTAGAATCTCCTCCATCAGACAACAGAGACGAGAAGTAAGTGGAACAAAGTATGTGGAAGAAGGTAGGGAAGAGTAGGCCAAATGAACCAAAAGGCAGGCCCAATTAGTAAGGGTAGAAGGGAAAATATCATGAAGGGAGGTGAATTGCCATGGGATAAAAAGTTGGTTGTGCATACCTGAAAGGGAGCAGTATGTGCCACATAACAACAAAGGGCCCTGGCTGGATACAGAAGCTTATCCAGATTCAGTTTAGGGTATAGATGGGAAATAGGAGAAAAGGATGAACAACCCTCTCAAGCTGCCTAGGTCTTAGGGAGAAAGGAGAAGATAGGTATGGTGATAAAGGGTATATGAAACGTCAATGGCATATAAATCAGACCTTCGATGTCCACAGGCTAAGAGAATGGATAAATATGTTTTGAGGGACACATGAAACAAGGAACACGAGGAAAGTGATTCAAAAGGAGGTAAAGTAAGGGTATGGAGGACTACATTAATGTCCCAATCCAGAAGGGCTGGATGTCTGGGAGGTCAACATTTCCAGAAGTAACGCATGAGCATGGTAAGAACAGGAGAAATAACAATCCTACAGTATTGTGAAAATGGAAGGTATGGGATAGGACCGCCCAAAATCCAAAAAGGGAGGAGACTGAAGTGAGAAATTCCACCACACGAGCCACAGATGGCTTGTCAGCAGGAAACCCCCTTTTAGCAGACCAACAGCAGAATACTTTCCACTTGTGTTGGTATACTTCCATGGAAGATGGGCATTTGGAACAAGCTAAGAAGGAGGAGACTCGACGTGTGAAACCACATACTCTCACCAACGACTAGACAAGAGCCAGGCATGAAGATGCAAGACATAGAGATTGGGATGTAAAATGTGTGAAAACAAGTGGATTTAGAGCCCACTCTATTGGAAAAATTTGATCGGGGTGTAACAGATAATTCACAAGGAGATTGAAAGCACCCAGCACATGAAAGTGATAAGGCAAATGTGATGTGCCTGGGCCCAGCATACTAGATCTCTGAATCAGGTGCCCCTTGGTGGTTGATATGTGCTACCACTATAGAATTGTCCAAATGAACCATCACCAGACAATGATGGAAGAGAAGTAGGAAGTGATGCAATGCCTGACATATTGCTAGAATATCGAGAACATTGATAGGCAAGATGGCTTTATCTGCAGACCAATGGCCTGAAGCTTCCTGGTGATTGATCCATGTTCTCCATGCATCCAGGAAAAGATGTAGATCTGAATGGGGAGGAGCTGACATATGGGCTTTGTTCAGCCACCAATGTAGATAATCTTGCAGGGAAGTAGGAAGGGAAATGTGGGTGGAAAGAGGATCATGAGCAAGGTTCCAACATTCGTGAAGCATCCACTAAAGGGATTTCATATGGGCATGATCTAGAGGAACCAGTTCATTCATGGAGGGCCACATCCCCAAAAGTGATAGAACCTCACAAGCACTAAGTGACTGAGCCAAGAGGGCATGATGAATCAAAATTTAAGATGTAAAGGAGAAGGCCGAGCACAACTGATATTCGTGTCAAAAAAGACCCCCAAATGGACTAGATATTGAGTGTAATAATGAAATTGCATCCCCAGAGCATGGAGATAGTGTGTAAAAGCTCGGTCTTTTCAACAAAACACATAAGAAGACGAGGTAGGTTCGAAGTGGAGTACCTGAAATTGGTAAACCACCTCAAGATGGACAAACCAAAGGTAAAGTTGAGACTGATGTGCTATCAGGATGTGGAGGTAATCATTGGAAACAACCATCTTCATTATCCACAATCCTGGGAAGAACGCCCATCTCAGGGTGAGAAAAGACTCCTTGGTGAACTTGGAGAGTATGATGAAACAATTAAGGCAAG